GTCATGCTGGGGGGTATCACCAATAAAAAAGGCCACAGCAAATTTCAATATGACACTCCAACTACGTCCATTCCAGGGAAGGTTGGACCATTGAATGCCTTCGGATGAGTTACATGCCTCTTTGAGGCTATTCAATGCAGTGCGCAAGCCGGCGTGGAGATTATTGACATTGTCAATTGACTTGTTGGCCTTGTCACGTTTGCCTGAAGGATGAAAATATATAGTCTCCCAGGCGTCGGGTCTAGATGAGTGTGCCAAATTGTTGAAAATACCAAGAGTCATATTAAGYGGTGTTAGGGAAGTGAGACCATTGTTGTCGATGGCAATTCCGTCCATGTACAGTATAATTGGAACTAGGATTTCGTTGTTTCCTGGGTTGCACTTTCTTTTCCATGTCTCTATCCACCATGATCCATGGTGAAGTTCGTGACTAATGTCATCGTTTTCAAGGGGAGGATTCCGTTCGAAGGAAGTTGGGTCATTCTGGTTTGGGAAAGAAAGGTTGCMCTCTGTCACCAGGGTGACATTTGTAAGTAGGGAGTGAAGAGCTTTGCAAAACAACCGCACGTAAATTTGTTTGCGACCACAATGAGATGGATCAAACGAAGCTTTGTAGCGCCAATCGATGACAACGGGCTCAAAATCACCACCTTCTATTTCGGGTGCDGTTTTGTACAATTCTTTCATTGCAGATTTGCGTGTTTTGAATAAGTTCCCTTGAGACCAGGAAAAGAGTTGTTAACTCTCGGCTTTGGCTGCCCATTGATAAAGCTCTCTCTCAGCAGCAAGGGGAATGTTGTTGTTACGCATTATCTTCATGAGCTTGATCTTAACCTTCAATYCATCGGAAACATGGCGGTGGTGATTGGGCGTAGATATGGGAGGGGGGGAAATATGTGGTGAAGTCGGTTGGTTCAAATTTGACAGGGAGTGGCGTTCATTGCTGTCTAGCACATTGTCGTGTGTTTTCTCGGAATCGTTGACAACAGAGAAAGGGGATGAAGGTTCAAAGGAGGATGTAGCGTTATCGATCTCATCTTCCAACAAATCACAGTCAATGTGTGGACAGATTGGGTCAAACATAACCTGCAAATCAAGATTTTCTGGCAAAGCAGAACCTGGGCCATTTTGGGTATTCGTAAGACAGAATTTGTGGCCAAGGCGAGCCTGAAATTTTTCAGGATCAAAAACGGAGCTAGAGAAATCCTTTACACCGCCCAAGCGATAACGGTAGTGGTAAGAGCAGCCGTCGTTGTCACTTAGATGACGTAAGAGCTGTCGTGACGTTACAACACCATCCTTTTGCCTTCTAGTCGCAGAAARAAGTTTGGGTCGCTTGCGTTTTTTTTTCGATTTGTTGTTTGGTTCTTCCTTTTTGTAACACCATCGGCAGAAAACTCTTAGCTTGGGMGACMGACCCATGACAGATTAATTATTAAGTTGTTGTGTTTGATGTGTTCTGAACATAGACATGTAGCAAAATTGGAAAATAAGAAATCTGGAGAGGTGACATATTCTTTTTTCGAACACAAATGGTTGTTTCGAAGGCTACCAATATGTGATATCTTGCACAGGATGAAAATATTATTGATTTCAAGAAAATATATTGCGGGACAAGATAGCACGGTGATGCGGAAATGAATAAACAATGCGGGCAAGATATAACCGGGGGTAACTACGAAATTAGAGGCTCCTTCACCGCGCGATTAGCGCGACACCATGAAAACGGTTTATGTGACGTACTAGCAGTACCACAAATCAAAGATCTCGTCCATCATTCGTCACATTTTGGAAACAACAAACAGCCACAGTTGTTTTGTTTATTCCCACCTTTGTGCTCACTTTATTTTTGCACTGCATGCACCATGGTTAGTACTTGTGTTAGCTTTTTCCTTAACATGTTGGTGGGTTTTTGGAAGTTGTCAAAGAAGTACTATTGTACCGTACGGTACCAGGTAGGTAATTTGGGAGGAGGCAAGAATTTCATTTTAGTACCGTAAGTACGGTAGGTACCTGCGTGGCATTTGGGTCTGTATTCGTCTCCTCACGATGATACATACCGGTACGATTGAACCTTGGCGCCCATGGTTCTGTGCATGGTTCTGTGCATGATCTCCAAAAACTGTGGGAAACTCTCAATTCAAACACAGACGAAGTACTCCGTTGTTCGACGAAGGTCGTTAATTCTTCTCGGAAGATGGGGAAAATTTCCGGTAGTTATCAAGGTCATAAATTGTATTCGGAAGATGAAGAGAATTATTTCCGGTAGAAGGAGACAAGGAAAGAGAATATGCTTGGTCTCCATGCTCGTACTTGTTGCAATCGTTTCCCATGTTGGCGTCATCTTTGCACCGACGTTCGCTCTGATGCCTTTGACAGGGGCGAGTTGTCAATCACGAACCACGAAAAAATTCTGCAAAAGCCAAGATGAGGAGAATGACGGYGATTGTGGCGCACCCGAGAACGAAAGCGATCCCAGGAGCGAGTCGAATTTTATCGATGGCTCTGGCACGGAGCTGAACATGAATGAATTCCAACAACGGAAACGGAAGCTTGCGCTCCGGAGTCGTCAGCAACGTTGGCACCAACCRCCGAATCCCTTTCTCGAGGATCCCATAGAATTTGTGCAAGCTATTTTGGGAACWTTTCAGCAAACCAATCGAAATAACAACGACAGCGCCGCTCTCTGCTTGCTCAGATCCTCGACGCCGTCGTGGAGAAGGCTCTTGCTGAAATCCGTCGGTGCACCACCAGATGCCACGATCGACCAAGTAGCTCCCACGCTCCAAAATGCGCTGGAACGATCGAACAACCAATTTGCCATCCTTACGAAGAAAATCCAAGAGGAAATAGAATTCGAAGGCGATGACGARGATCCGAGCCTGAGGATAGCCTCGATTCAGAAGTGCTGGAACTTCCCCACGGATCCARTTATTTTCGAAGGCGACGATGACAACGAGGACGATATAGAAGGCAATGGAAGGATCGTCGTTGACAAATGTTGGATAGAAAGTCGTCTTCGTTCGCCGAAAGAGGACGAATTGTTGGCCGTTGTTGGGTGGTCTCTACAACGGCGACGGCCCAGATTACAGGAACGTCAACCCGACCAGCACATCGATGATGTCCATGTCGATTCAAATGAATTAATAAATTGTTGGTTGTTAGATGGAGTAGACTGGCAAGACTTCCGGGAGGACTTTCGACCAGGTATTGGGCGAGAAGAATGGGAGAGGATTTGTGGGTGAAAGTGACAAATATGTGGCTCTATAAAAAGCGTTAAGAGGAGGTATAAGGAAAAGCATATTGCTGAACGAACCAACCAATACATCAATTGACAAGGGCTGAAGAAGTGCGTTGCATTCGACGACTGCGTACGAAGAACGACTGAAATCTTGGGTTTCGAGAACCCTTTCGTTCCCGGTTCCTCGCATCAGGATTTTTGTACAGTTCAGAAGTTAAGATTTGTGTTGAGACAATTGCCTAGAGTACCGTCTTGAGTATAATTTAGAAACCGCGATCTAGTCGTTTGGCGATGCAACACACATTCTTCTACCCATACGATTGGCATTGAGTGCTCGGGGGGAATGGACGAGGACGAACCCTTCGATGCTTTTGTGTCTAGGGTCGATCATCCAGCATTGGCTATCATTACCAAGTGCAACCACGGCTTGCCTAATTCCAATGTTTCAAGCTGTTCCAACTGCGCACAATCGAATGGCAGATCGGAACGCATAGCTCAGTTGAAAAACTAAAAAATCGAGTTTATCTAAAGTCTAGTTAAAAAAGGATTGATTACCACTTCTCTCGGTTGAATTTCGGTTCCCGAATCTATGGTCAATGCTCCTAGGGACACCGATGCATACAATGCTGCAGTTTGTAAGGGATCGAGGAAATCGATTGACGGTTGGTTGATCGAGGCAGAAAGAAGGAACTTTTTTGCCCTTCAAACGAAAATATTCTATTTGGGTTTCTTTTTGGTTTTCGGCTTCTTTTTGCGGTTGGCGAGTGACTTGGCGTATTTTTGTTGCAGCTCCTTCAGATTGCGATCGAGTCCATTGGCAATGTCCCGGGCACTGGGTCGTTTCTTCGGGTCAAAGCGGTAGCACTGCAGCATGGCATCGCGAATCGCAACAACCTCGGGGTTGTCCGAGCGAACGACGTCCTCCGGTATAAAGGGCAGGTCTCCGCGCTGGACCTTCTCGTTCACTTCTTCCTTGGACGGCCTCCCGCCGGGCTCCAGYTTGTTCCACGGTTCGTGGCCACAAATGAGCCGAAAGAAAATGTGGCCCAGCGAAAAAATGTCCACCTTTTCGGTCAGGTGCTGCTCGTTGCGGGCCTCCTCCGGGGACCGCCACTGCGGGTTGGGATACTGGGCGGGAAACCCGCACGCCTCGTTCGASGTCGTGTTCCACCTGCGGACGATGCCAATGTTAAAGTCGTTGAGCTTGAGGGTGCCCCTGACGCTCACCACGTTCGCCGGGTTGACGTCCAGGTGGACAAAGGTCGCGTTGCCGTCCCCGTCGATCCCGTGGACGTCCGCCAGGCCGTTCGCAATGTCGCGGGCAATCTCCAGCCGCTTCAGGGGCTTCTTCTTGGACTTGTCGGCCAGCTCTCCCAGCCGCTTCCCGTCGGCGTAYTCGGTCAGGACCGAGTGGCCGCAAAAGCCAAATATGTTGATCACGTGCGGGGACGAGGTCAGCCGCTCCATCGCGATCGCGTCGATGCGGTCGTGTTCAAAGTGCGCGTCCTCGAAATCGTGCCCGTACCTGCGGAAACGAGAAACAAAATGCCGCAAGCGTCAGGGCACGGCACGCGGGGGGCAGGCCAAGGCCTGCCAAAACCAATACCAAAAACGCACCAACGCGCCGGCAACACACACTTCGGAATACTCACTTTAGGTTCTTAAAGACAACCGTGTCCTCCTCCGCTTCCCCGCCGTCGTAGTGGTCGATCACCAGTTTCCACGCGTACCGCCAAAAGCCCTTGGTTCCAAAGAGCGACGCGTCCAGGCCCCTCTTGCCCGTGTTCGGCGCCTCCCCGTCCCGTCCCGGGCTCGCCCCGAGCGTCTGCAGGGCCAGTTCGTGCATTCCGTTGCAGGACGGCTGGTACGCCGTCTGCCAGTCCTGCATGGGSACGCACTCGTCCGTCCGGTAGGGGTCCCTCCGTTCCATCTTGGACAGCCGCTCGTCGTCCGAGGGCAGGATTCCGTAGAGCTGCGTRTTGTCGGTAACATCGGCCGGGTAGGTCTCGATGGTCCGTGCCGCGCGCGGCTGTGCGATCCGGGGGTCCACCACCACGATCCGCGGAAAGTCTTGGCTCGCACCGGTGTTCGGTCCCAAAGAATCGGGGTAGAGCCTCGGRTCCACCCGGTCAAACCCTGGTTCCGGCTGTTCGGACAGAGAAGGGGGCATGCGCATCTGCAGTCTCTTGGGCAACACCGTGGYCCCATCCCTCGGCCTTCCTTCTCGTTTTGCTCTCGCGCCTTTCCGGTGCTTGCCGGATCCCGTCTTCTGGTTCGGGGGTWMCGTCCCGCCGCTCGACGGCAGGGGGGACGTCGCGTTCGCGGTTTCGTAAAGGTTGCTTCCGCTCGTGTCCCACATCCGCCCGAGGACCTTCTTTCCCCGGAGGCCGCTGTCGTYSGCTCGGTCCGGAAGGGTGGGGACAAAGTCCTCCGCCCGGTCAAAGGTGGGAACGGCCCGGTAGGTCAGCGCCACCATCCCGGAGACCGACAGCAGGACCATCCCGGCGAGGGTGGCCAGGAGGCACAGGGATTTCGGCGCGCTTCCCGGGAACCGCTGCTTCGGKCCGCCGAGCTTGTTCGCCGACGGGCTCTTGCTCAYCGAGGCGCCCGAGGCACCGAGGAACGATTGGTAGGGCCGGTTGCCGCTCGTGGGCGAGACGCTGCCGCTCCGGCTCGCGCCGCCCAGGGAGGGCACGCGGTGGTGCCGGCCGGTTGGTTCCTCCACAAAGCCCCGGGTCGGGCTCGAGTCCGGCGAGGATCCCGAGGAGCATTCCTGGGAGGAATGGTCCGAGGSGCTCCGAAAGTGGTGGGGGAGGGGCCGGAGGAGGGAGGACCGCCGCTTGTGGGAGGACGACGACGATCCCTGGGGCTGCGAGGGCCTCCGCCGCACCGAAACGGGGGTTCCCTCCGGGGCCTCMCCGGAGCCTTCCGGGGACCGGTGGCTTCCCGACCTCCGCGCCGAGGACCGCGTGCGACGGGAGCGGTGTTTCTCCCGGGGGTTCCGGAGGGGGAGCCCGCTGCTTCCGGATGCCATGGTCCGTCCCAGTCGCCTCCTGCTTCGGGGGTCGTCGTCCGTGCTGTCGCTGTTGCCGTGGTCGTAGTGGTTGTGGCGGTCCCCGAAGAGGGCCTTGCTCGGGGTCCGGTCTCTCCGGTCGTGCGGTGCGGGCTTCCGGGGGAATCCCTGCTGGAGATCCTCCAGGCAGGCATCCCCGTCGTCGCCGTCGTTGTTGCAGCTGTCGTACGGGGAACTGCCGTACGAGGAAAGCGAAGAAGAGGCACCGCCGCTGCCGACCGGATCGGAGGCGTCCCCGTTGCCGKGATCGTTRTAAAAGAACATGGTGCGTTCGGACCGAGCGGGTTCTAGCCGGCACGGAAGGGACGGGGCGRYGGAAGAGGCAAGGGAGGAACGGGCGGATTCCTCGTCAATGCGAGTTCCGTTGGTTTCGTATCGACAATTGTTGCGATTGCGTCGTTCCGAATTGTGGATTCTGGGATTGTGAACCACTCAACGGAAAAAGAATGGAAGACTTCCAGAGGGCAAACCGCTGAAACAATTCGGGGAAGCAGCAGCAGCAGCAGCAGCAGCAGCACACACCTCGTGGGCGTTCGGTTCGTTTCGGTTTTGTTGTGTTTAGATGCGTTCGGTTTCGTCCGTTTCGGTTCCTGTCCCCGCTCGCACCGCGACTCACTCAGAGCGTTTCCCTTTCCGTTTCTCGGTCGGGCCGCTTCGAGGGAATGAATCTGCCGCGAGCGAGACGACAACGGGCGGCGGTGTGGGTGCGTGTGGATCCCTTCGGGAGGCGGCGCCGGGTCTGTTCCGTTTCTCTCGGGACGATCGGTGTGGTGGGAAGGATCCCTCGGAGTCTTCGATCACGGACGGGCCCTGCGCTGGGTTTGGGTCGGGGTCGGTCGTTCCGGCACACAAGGGTTCAGACCTCTCTCTGGCTCGATTCATTCAAATCGACTCACAAGGTAGGCAAGAGTTCCCGCGTGCAAATGTGAATCGCAGGCATGCGCTTCCTGCTTTGTGCCCTCTTAAGTAACGGTATGTGAAGTGTGCGAAACACATGCTCGAGAACGAGGCAAATTATGATTTGCGTTTCGTGTGTACAGTACGTAGAGGTACGGGGCGTGTACGGGTACGAGTACCGCAAGACCCTGTAGGACACTCTGCTACCGTGACTACGGTACCGTGTTGCTGCACCTACCGGAATGGGCACGGCAATCGTGCACTCTTTGCGCCTACGGAAAAACTCCTACGGTTGTTCTTTCTACAYTGCCTACYRCTGGTACGATACGATACGACACGATACGTAGACTAGAACAAACAATACGATTCTTGATAATTTTGATCTCGGCGGAAGCTGGACAAAGTTTTTCGTTTGATGGCATAGCGTGTCGACAAATTCAGTCGTTCCCAGTCATACACAAGAAATACTTGTACTTCGGTGGTAGTATTGTTGAGAAAACASGCATAGTTTCTGTTTCCCGGCGCGGCCGGCCGGATCTGACACCATTCTTACCGCCTCTTTTTACTTAACAACATATTTTTGTGAGCGGCACTATGGGAGTTTCAGCGTATCCAACGGGACTGGGTCAAACGAGGAAGCAAAGTCACGGGCGGGAGGACTCCAGTACAGTAAGTACAGTTGGAATTACGCTCTTGGCTTGCTCGGTAATCCTCATGCTCGTCGTATTGTGGCACCGGTACGCGTAGTCCCGTTTGAGAGATTGGCTAGGATACGGTATATATGTCCTACCGGTATGTATCAGACATGTATTTCGTATTTCGTATATTCTAGCTACGAGCGTACCCTATGTCGATAATAATCATATGTATCGTACATATTGTCGCGTACATATTGTTGTCAGCTGTCGAGTCTCGAGTCTCGAGGCAAACCGCAACCCGTCCTGTTACATACGTACCTTACGTATGTTACGTACATATTACTCGTCTGACTGTTTGCCCGGACGGACGACACGAATCATCTCATCGTCGCTGTAGCGTAGCCACCAGTAGTGTACGAACTCGTTCTCGTTCTGTGAAAAGCATTCGACGATCCAGGAAAGGAAGAACACAACACGACGGCCGAAACGAAAAAAAAAAAGTTTCATCCCTCGTCCTTTTTGTTCTGTCGGGAAACAC